TAAGCTCTCACACTTCAAAGCACATCGAACCCCATTGAATGCAGAGGAAAACCCAACCCATGCTCCATCACACTCCCATAGGCAGATTCTCCTCTCACTACTTTCACACCAGAGCGAGTTCTATGAGAGAACTCAAGTACTATGTCACCACCAAAAAAGAACCAGAAGATAGTGGTTTTAATGGATTCCAAACAGATTCTGTCAAGAGCTTCTACCTTTCAGCAAACAAGGCATTGGCTCCTCTGACACATGCACACATTTGTTATACCCCTGTGACTGGGGACAACGTACAAGCACCCTAGGAAAGAGAGTATTCAAAAGACAGAAATGCAGTCTCCATCCTGACACAAAAGGAAAAAACATGATCTTAGTCCTACTGTTCTAATCTGTGTCTGGAAGTGCAGTCACCAGCATGTGATATTTGCACCAAAAAAATGTTATGAATACAACGCAGGGCACCCAAAAATGAGATGCAACTTTGAGGTGTATGCACATCCTATCTGGAACCAGTGTGCCCTCATTTTCTATCCAGGTGAAACTGAAGCCCCCACTTTTACTCTTACAAATAACAATATCACATTAGTTAGATAAGTGCCAAGAAATCATTATTGAAATTCTGATAGCATTTGCCTTACTGGTAAAAGAAAATCACCTGTAATGCATCGTTTAAATAATTACTTTAAACAAAAGCTTCTTTTCTGCATTGCTTATTTATCTTTGGAGACCAACTCAGCAGGGCTATGTATTTTATTAAAATTGCCTTCAGACTGCTAATGGCAGGGCGTCTGTTAGCTCAGAAAAAGTGATGGCAGTTTGACTCCCATTCCTAATATTGGGAGTTAGTCCAGACACTGAAGAGCCAGAACTCTGCTGTGCATTTGACTATGTTATCAACACTTTGCTTGCTAATGATACTACTGACAGCCTTTCAAGATGATGGGTCAGACTTAAATAGGAAAGCTTGTAATTGTGCTTACAAAACCAAAGGAACCACTTTCCCGCTTTCTCCACCCCCCCACCCCCAATCCCTTGTATCAGCAGATCAGTTGGTGTTAAGCTTCACGACTGGGAATTATTTGGTAAGCTTCTGCTCCTTTGCGTTTTTTCCACTTTCCACCTTGAATAGGGAGCCTCCAACAGCACCTGATAGCTGCTCGTTCTGCGAATGACAACTGAAAAGCTTTCCTGGGGTGTAACTGTGTGCCAACTACCCAGCGGAAGGTCACATGGACGACTTCCCTGTGGCTTTTATTTTCCCCAGGGAAATCCACAGCCAGGGCTGACTGCTTGCCAAATATGCTGAGTGCTAACAACCCAGCAGTGCTAAGAACCCCGCATCCCTCTTGATGGGAAGCAGTAAGCAACTGTGCCGAACACCTGTGTCAGCTCCGGTTTCTGGGGACACTCTAGGCAACCACTCAGGCAGCATTCAGGGACAGGGAGCCTCACAGGAGTCATGCGACCACGGTGAGGTTTGGCAGATCTCTAAAAAACCAGAGCATTTAACTACCATTTTAAAAAGTGATCTAAATGATTTGTGAGTTAAATATTTTTCTGTAAGCATCCAAAAGAAACCACCATGATGAACCTTTCTTGTAATTATACAAGTAAATACAACTCCATCACTTCCTTTAATATCTCTCCTCCCAGTTGAGGAAGAAAAGATACAACCTGAGAAGTGGATGGACAATCAGTCCAAATAAGTCAATCCTTTTCTGTGACTCACAGAAGAATATGCAAAGTTGAATATGAAAATGTTGATCAAGAAATGTGATGGAGGAAAAGTGAAGCTATATTTTGAAAAACACTGTCCATCACAGGTAAAGACGCAGTACACACACAGGTTTGAATGAGCACACAAATGGTGCTCAATGCTTCAGAAAACAGGACCACCTGCCAGAAATACTGACATCTTAGAATGTCAATAAAGCCTGCTAGGGTTCGCTGTCTGCAGAACCCTCAGTGTGGAGGGCTGGGGGAAGAGCAGGCTGTATGCAGATGAGATTAAGCATAAATGGAGAAATAAAGGTTACTTCAGGACCACACAGTTGATGAAGCAGTGGGATTACAATTAGAAACTCGTGGGGTTTTTTTTCTTTATTTCTATGATTCCACCCAAATATCTCCAAGATAGCACACAACAGTCGGATCCATTATGAAGTGTTTTCTCAGTCAGAGAACAGCCAACTTTCACCAACAAGCTTACATCCACTTATTTTCACACTCAATTTCTCTTGTTAGCTTTCTGGGCATGGAACAGCTCCGCAATCCACCAACACGGTCCCCTCCAATACAAAGGATAGCAGAACAGTTCATGGTCCCTTACCAAAATAATGAATGGATCAATAAAGTGCAACTCATTGTTCTTGTGTCCCATATCTGTAGATTACATGACTTTTATTTCAGACGCCCAAATTAGATATTAATCCCTTGTCCCTCGGAGGAGTCACCAAGCCCTATCCAGCTCTTTGATTGGCTGCTTCTCTCTGTCCTCAGTTGTTGCAACCTCAGTCCTGATAACTTTATCTTCTTCTTCGATGATGATATTGCTCTCTCATTTTCCTTCCCATGGCTACATCTCAACCTCAAATTAACATGATATTAATTAATCCAAGATAGAGTATGAGTCACTGATTCCCCACAACAATTTTTTTTAAATAGCTTCAAAGTTTTGTAGAATTAATTCAGATCACTCAGCACAAGATGAAGAATGCCATCTGGAACACACTTACCTGTACAGTCACACTTCCTCCCTTAGTCTAGCTTTTGTTACATCCACTCTTCCTCCAACCCAACAGGCACTAAAAAAAATCAAAACCCTAAACATATGCTTCCTCATCTTCCCAGTGTAAACCTCTTGGCTGGGTAAAGGCCACACATTCTTTACAGCCGGGTTCAGATATATATCCTCTGGTCTATGTAACACTGTTTCTATGAACCTCATAGAAGGGTACCATGCAACATTTGTGTATTCTTTTATGACTTTGTATCTCACATGATGATCATTTGGTTACTATTCTTTCAGCCAAATTCATTCAAGAAAGTCTAAGAACAAGCCTAGAAAGACAGGCAGCTCAGTCCCACCCAAGGAAGGGAGGAGAACTGGTGCAAAAAAAAAAAAAAATATATATATATATATATATATATATATATATTAGGGAGGCAAGTACGGGAGCCATTCATGTAGATGAACAAAACTAAAGCCCAGATACACCGATTCAAAAAAAATTGCCTTCTGGGTTTCCCAGACATCTAAAAAGACCTAGCCTGATAAAAGGACTGAGGAGAAAGTGGAAAAAAGAGACAAACTGACAATACCCAAGTGTAATGTGTAAATGATTGGTGAAGGATGATGGAAGAAATCAATAACAAAGTCACTATTTTGGATTTCAGACAGTGGACCTGAGCATGCGTGAAAGAGATTTGAACCATTCGGGTGCACAAACAGCATTAGATGTGCTTTGAGAAATACAGTTATGTCCTCTCCTAAAAAGGAAGTGCATTACACTGAAACTGTCTGACTCTTGTTTGTCTCTTTCTTCTTGATTTTGACTAAGAATATATAAGACCCAAATTAGCCACAGTATTCAATTTCAAGTCAACATTTACCTCATAGTTGGAAACCAAGAATACCCACCACTTTCGGGCTTGATTTATTTAGTTTCAGTGTTATTTGCAAACTGAAAATTTAGGAGGATTATAAGAAAATTCTTAATGAAAGCAATCCCCCAAATGATTCTCAATTCGCCAAGTCATGGAAGACATACATAAAGAGTGAATTACTTGGGCATATCATTTCATATGCAGAATTTCTGTTTGTCTGCCTTTGTTTTTGCAGGACTTTTAATGCATCTAACAGCAGATATCTTAGCATATGCCCAATACTTGAAATTATCCTTCCTGTGTGTTGGCAGACAGTTTTCCCAGGATACACACCAATACAAAATTCACAATGTTCATGCTAAAAATAATGATAAAATTCCTAAAAGCACCCAGGCAGAAGAATTTTAACATTTGCTACCATTTGAGTAAATTATTTTACTTGAAGAAGTCTGACCGGTCTGTAGAGACATTGGTCTGTGTGGGATGCTGACTGAGGTAAGCCACTAGCGGTTGTTCTAAGTGAGATGAAGACGTGAAAGGAGCTGAGACAAACACCAGGGAACTGTGGCCCTGGCAACACGGGGTGAGAAATAAAGAAGATCCTCACATCCTCACTCAACAGTGAAGCCGACGTGGTAGCTAGAATCATAATCACTGTTTACAATGACACGATAAATCAACATGAGAAATGACCTTGAACTAAGAGTCGAATGCAACTCATAGGCCACATCACAACAATGCTCAGCACAGATGCCAGCACGGCTCCTGCTTCCTGGGGAGGGTGACCAACAGCAAACCTTCCACGATGACTCGCTCCCGGGAGACCTTCTGACTATCTGAAACTTTCTGCTTTTATCGACATTGTCTGTTTCAATTAACCTTCGCTTTGTACAGGGTGGCCAACATGTAAGAGTTAAGCTCAGTGTTAGCAAATAGATGAACTTTGAAGAGTGTCAAGAGCTTTCACTGCTGGACTGTGTGCTGAGTGTTTGGCAAAAGGGGAAGAAACTTGACGTTCATGACCTGGGTGTTCTCTTCCTATAAGCACATAATTATTAACACTTTTTATGGTTTAAAGACTTCATTATGAAAAGTCATCGAAGAACCTCATTTCAGAACAGTTTATACTACATAAAGAGTAACAGAAATCAAGGTATCTGGTTAACTTCTAGGGTTAAAAAATGGACTTCATACTTTCAAAGTTTGCTTAAATTACTTTTCGATTTTTCAAACCCCAAAAGAAAACTAGGTGCCTGCTATGCCTTGTGTGTAAGTGTGATAGTTATGATCTGTAAAACTGAGAATATTCCTCAAGTACAAACATAGAACAAACAAACCACCTGGCAACAGAAGTGCAACAATGATGGCAAGTACAATGACAATGTGAATATCCTGACCTGAGTCGTCCAATCACTTGCACGCTGATGTCCTGGATATTATCTATGTCTTGCAACACTACAAGAAAAAAAGAGAAGGAAAGAGCATTAAATGAAAAATTAAAGCACTCTCAAACCATTCAGGTTAAAAAAAAATAGACAATTTAAAAGATTTTACATTAGAAAAACTTGAAGAAATTTTAGGTAATTTCATCAAAATAGTTTGTTTTCTAAACCATTTTCATATCCATATAGTAGTGTGTGATTCACAGGACTATGTCAGGATTTTTTTAGAAAAATATTTATTTGTCTGAAAGGTAGTCACAGATAGAAAAGGAAAGAAAGAGGAAGGGAAGGAAGAAGGAAGACAAGGAGAAAGGGAGGGAGGGAGGGAAAAAAGAAGGGAGGGAAGATTGTCCATCCACTGGTTCACTCCCCTAAGGGACTCAAAAGTTCAGGATGTGCCAGGCCAAAGCTCATTCTCTCTCCCATATGGGTTCAGGGGCCCAAGCACCTGGGCCATCTTCTACTGCCTTCCCAGGCACACTGACAGAGAGCTGGGTCAGCAGTGAAGCAGCCAGGACTTGAACTGATGTCTAGATGGGAGGCTGGAAATGTGAGCTGTGGTTTAATCCTCTGTACCACAATGCCAACTGTAATGACTAATGAATAAATAATCATCTTTAAAAACCAACTTTGTTATTATATTACAAAATATAATAACATGTGAAATGTGACAATACATTTCGCTTGAACCACAGCAATTAATTCCCTGTAAAAACCTTACACATTACTAACACATTCATGAGAATCTGCATGTATGTGCAGGCATGTAGATGTTCACATACATGTTTACACAGAATGATCATGGGCCAAATACCATTGAGATGGACAAGTATAACCATTTTTAGAGTTCAGGTGGCTAACTTAAAATATATTTAACAGTGCAACTCTACTTACAAATAGAATAACTTATAAAAAAGAAAAACTTCCAATGGATAATGAGCTTACTAAATATATACCTATTAGTACTTACGAAAGCATGGTGTTCAACGGTACTAGCTGCTAGGACCCTAACTTTACACAAGAAGCAGCTAGAGTTTTCAAGGTTAAAAGTGTTACTGAATAAAAGAGTAAAACAAAACCAGGAACACAACTTCTACTCAGTTATTTGTCAGAGCCAGACTCCAGCATTGTAAGGAGATCTCTAACCTGTTACTCCTTGGAAAATTTATTTAATCTCTAGAAAGTTTCTCAATCTGTAAAACAGTTTCTTCAGCCTCCCATGAATCTGCAAATAGAAATGCATATAGGTATTTTACCACTACCTTGTTATTTGAGAACACAGAATATTTTTGATAAAGGGAAGTTCATTAATTTCTTCCTTTTTTTAAAAAAAGTTTGTGTCCTCAAGATGACCAAAACCAATGGTTTCCAGATGTCTAAGCATTGTTAAAGGCTTGTTAGAAAGGCAGAACAAGAGGGAGAAACAAAGCTCAATCTTCCATCTGCTCCCCAAATATCTGCAAAATCCAGATTTGAACCAGTCTAAGCCAGGAGCCAAAGATTCCAGTCTGGTGTTCCTCATGAGAGGCCAGGGTCCAAGTGCCTGGGCATTTATCTCCCATAGGTAGATGAGCAGGAAGCTAAATGAAAAGCAGAGCGGCCCTGACTCCAATGGGCACCCCAAAATGGAATGTTGGGGTTCTCTGTGGCAGCTTAACTCCCTGATCTAACAATGTGGTAATAGCAGAGGACAGAATAGAAAAATAAGGGGTGGTATTGTGGCACAGCAAACTAAGCTGCTGCCAGATACAATGCTATCCCATATGAACACTGTTTCAAGTACCAGCTACTCCATTTCAGATCTAATCCTTGCTGATGCTCCCAGGAAAGCAGCACACTCCGTGGGAAGGACAGATGGAATTCCAGACTCCCCAATTTGGCCCAGCCCAGTTGCATACATTATGGCCGTTTTTGAAGTAAACTATCCAGTGTCAGGGCTCTCTCTCCCCTTCTGTAACTCTGTCTCTCAAACAAACAAAAAAATCTTAAAGGAAATGAGCACTTTTCAAGCAGTTTAGAACTGGATGTGTTCAAAAAGACAATGCAATAGTGTATGTTAGGTAGTTATGATGACTGTGGCGACAACTAAAACAGTTCTGGATAGAAACAGGTGAGAAAGGCCTGCAGTTCTACGCAGGGTCAGACACGTCAATTTGAGAAAGAACTTTTCAGGCAGAGAAACAAGTTGATGTGGCTGCATTTGCTGAAAGGTTGTATTACACAGTAAGTAGGAGAATGGCAGGAAATGAGATCAGAGAAGTAAGCAGGGGCAGGCAAAGACTGTGTGAGATGTTGGCGGCCAATTAAGGGTGCTTTTGTTCTTAGAAAAAAAACCTACAAGCTATTCCAAGAATCTAAGCAGAAAAAGGAACTTATGTGACTTAGGTTTTAATTAACTCAATATTTCTGAGTGGAGTTTCAACTGGCATTTTGGGTGAGCAAGTCTACAGTACCACGTCCGGCAATGGTAGTTATCATTCAGCATCTCTCAGCCGGGCCTCCTAAGTGCCCATAGTAACCTTCAAGTCTTCTAACAACCCCAAATGTCTCTACTCACTTCCAGAGCTATGTTAAGGACAGCTGCAGGGGAGGTCAGGCCAGCATCTATGTTGTAACATTGCAGACACATGTTATCTGGAAGCGGAGTAGCCATGATGAATCCTGAATGTGTTCTTTTTGCCAATGGATTTGATGGAGGTGTGAATGAAAGTCAGTGTGTAAAGGACGTGCCACCAGTGGCTGGAACGAGGGAACAGAAGGAGGGAATTCCTATCGGTGAGAATGTGGGGAGGAAGTGATCGGAACAGATTTAATGAAGAAAGCAGGCATTTGGTAAAGACACATCAGATCCTAGATAAAATCAGTTACACTCATATTTTACTCAAGGATTTATTTTTTTTTAAAAAAATTCAGGATTGAGCCAACGGCCACCGGATTTTACACGAGGCATTGGGGGCACACAGATTTATTAAGTTCATGGACATAAACATTTGAGATACAAATGATTACTGATAACTAATAGTAGTCTATTAATCCTCAACAACCGGACTATATTAAATATTTTCTTTTTCTAAAGAAAAATCTAGCCCAAAGGAATGAATCTAATCGTGGGAATTTCAAACAATAAATGGAGTGTGTAGCTTAGGCAGGCTTTTAATGTTGTTAAAATCCCACCAGGCTCCTACAGCATGGAATAGGTATCCTACAGCGAGATTAGGCTCGGAGTTGGGAAAGCAGTGGGCGATGCAACCGTCCTGTACCTCACACTGACTAAGCATCACAAGTGCCAGCACCATGAAGTCAACCAGTCAATACACATGACCTTTTCCACGTCCATGGGTAACTCCAGAGGTACAGTCGTGTTCAGATGTTATTTAAAAACCCTTTCATGAGCAGAGTTGGACTCATCCTTTGTTAAGATAGAACTAATCATTCTTATCAGCAAAATAATTTTTATACAAACATAATTCAGAGTTGCTATTATGAAGTACCCAATTACAATCAGAAATTTCTCCCAGCAGTGACATCCTGACTACCCTTAAAAATACAGAAACAAAGGGCCCAGAGCAGTAGCCTAGGAGCTGAAGTCCTCACCTTGCATGCATCAGGGTCCCATATAAGCACCGGTTCAGTTGGCTCATTCATGTCCTGGCTGCCCCCACTTCCCATACAGCTCCCTGCTTGTGGCCTGGGAGGGCAGACAAGGATGGCCCTGAGCTTGGAACTCTGCACCTGCATAAGAGACTTGGAGGAGGCTCCTGGTTCTGAATCAATTCAGCTCCAGCCATTGCGGCCACTTTCGGGAGTGAACCAAAAGACAGAGGGTCTTTGTCTTTCCTTCTCTCTGTAGATCTGACTTTCCTATGAAAGTAAATAAACCTCTAAAAATAATAACAATAAAGAAGAACAGGTGTCTGGCATAGCAGCTTAGTCCCACTGGGGAGGCCTAGACCCCATACAGAGTGCCAGCTTCCAGTGCCAGCTACTCTGCTTCCCACTCATCTTCCTGTGAATGAACACACCCTGAGGCAGCAGGCAATGGCTCAAGCACCTGGGTACCCGCAACCCATGTGAAGAGACCCAATCTGAGTTCAAGACTCCTGGCTTGGGCCTTACCAACCACTGCTGCTGTGGGCAACTCTCCAGTGAACCCATGGATGGGAGATCTTTCTCTCTCCCTTTATGCTTTTCAGGTAAGTAATTTTCATATGCACATAAAGAAATATTCTGAACAGTAGTATTGATCGTGCAAACAGAAGTTTCTCCTACTAGAGTGTTGGAAAAAAAAGAAGAGCTGCAGCATAGACCTCAACCCCTAGCAAAAGGAGGACCTCACTGTGACAACAAGACACCACTGCCTGCATCTACAATGCCACGACACAAGTAAATAGCATAATGTTGCAACTGTAACTGCAGCAGAAGGAAAAGTAAGGTGGGAGAGGAGGGAAGAAAAGAAGGAATGAGGGAAATCATATACCTACAATAGCAATAAACGAAGTTTCTCCTGAAGTGTGTTGAAGCACTCAATTCATCAAGTCAGAAAACATGCAAAATATTTGGATTCTATCCCAACATTTCCTAGCAATATCTGTTCCCCTGTCCTCTGCGATACAGGTGAGCTATCTATATTTAGAAGTCATGTACTTAGTACTTTGCTTCCAAGGAAAATGGTACTGTTTTCTAGAGTGCTGTGGCATATTGTCAGTGACTCCAGTTACATAATTCCAGAAGGACAACCGGGATGCGATTCTTCAGTCAGGTGGCATCCCTGATCAGCGGTCAGTTTAAGCAAGAAGGTTTTCTGCAAAGGTGCTCACTCGAACCAAAGTGGGAAGGAAAGAGACCAAGATGCAGCAGCGTTGGAGAGAGACCCCACTGGCATCCCATTGTTGTTGCACTGGAAGGACATCGTGTGTCATAACGAATCGCCATTAATTTGAGCCAGCAGTACCCTTGCACTGCGCTTGGCAACCCAGGATGACAAACAGTGCCTGCAAGATCATCTAATGAGGG